ATATACATACACACACACACACACACATTCACAGATATATATACGTATATATTTATGTTTATATATATATATATATATATATTTATGTATATGTGTATATGTATATAACACACACACACACACACACACACACACACACACACATATATATATATATATACCGACTCATCGCCGTGTCACACACAACTTACTTAAAGGGCGAATCTCTCCGTCACCTGTGGTCAATGCCAAGACACTGAGAGAGCAGTTGCTTCAACGGAAGAAGCGCAAACACGACGAAATCCTCACCGAAGATGCGGATACGAACATTCAGCGGAACAAACGTCTGACCCCCACACACAGTGAGGGTATGTTAGTACCGGGTGCAGCTGCCCTGTCCTCGACCCAACTGGATCCGGTCTGGGTCCCGAAAGAGAAGGACAATATGGTGGATATGGACGGCTCTGCCTCCGGCAAGCAAAGCGGGATAGAAAGCGGGACGGCGGGCGGCCCACCGGGGGTGTCCACGGTAGGGTCGCAGAATAACAACAACAAGAAGAAAAGTACTACGAAAACGACCGCCACACAGGTTGCACCAGCGGCGACGGACCTGTCCGTAGGACCGGGGGTCGCTGGGAGTGGGCTGGGTCACCCTAGCCGAAACACGGTGAGAGCCTGTGGTGTGAGGGGTTCAACACCACCAGCAGGCGAGGGGACTACAAAGAGAGAGACTCAGGACAACGGGACCGCGGGATTGGATAACGAGACAAAAAAAAGGGGGCCATTGCGACGTCGAAAACCGGGCCAAAACACCTGACCACGACACAGGACCGGTTCGAGGTTGTGGAGAAGGGTGCAGGTGCAGGTGTCCAGGACGAGGCGAATGGGGCGGTGTCGGTGGCCACTCAGGTCACAGGAGCGTCGCCCCACCCACCGGCGGCTGGTGCAAACGAGACAAAGCAGTTGGATTTGCACTCGGGGTATGTGGCACCTTTGGCGACTGATGCGCCCGTGCGAGATGGCTCGGGCGTTGCTATCCCGACTGTGTCTCAGGAGAAGCTGGTCGTGGAGGGCAGCAGCCGTCTCAGGCCCAAGAAGATTGCCCTGGACCCCCAAAAGGGACCCCAGGTGCTGAATAAGGCACCCCGTGACGTCAAAAAAGGGCCGGTTATGGCTCAAAAGCCAAAGACGGCACCGAAGGGGACAAAGGCAGAGGGGCGAGCCAAGAACCCTGCAATGCCAGCGAATAGTCCCGGAACATTTGAGCAGGAGACACAGGTTGCAAAAGCGGGACCTAAAGCGGGACACGGGGAGAAAGGGGAATCCGAGCTGAGTGGGGCGGAGAGTTTGCGACAGAAACTGCTGATGGCCATGAAGAGGAAGAAAGGTGCCAGTGCGACCGCCAAGGAGAAGGAGTCAACGTAAGTGACGTGTGGGCATATGCAGCGGTTGGGGCAAGGCTGCGGCAGGGAGAGGCATGGGCATGCTCGTGCCGAGTGGGTTGTTTGTGTATACTGCATCAGTCAAGAGCTGTGTCTGTGTAGAGGTAGACATAAGGCTGCGACGGGAGAGGCATGCTCGTGCCGAGTGGGTTGTTTGTGTATACTGCATCAGTCAAGAGTCGTGTATGTGTAGAGGTACACATAAGGCTGCGACGTGAGAGGCATGCTCCTGCCGAGTGGGTTGTTTGTGTATACTGCATCAGTCAAGAGCTGTGTATGTGTAGAGGTAGACATAAGGCTGCGACGGGAGAGGCATGCTCGTGCCGAGTGGGTTGTTTGTGTATACTGCATCAGTCAAGAGCTGTGTATGTGTAGAGGTAGATATAAGGCTGCGACGTGAGAGGTATGCTCTTGCCGAGTGGGTTATGTGGATATATGGATATACATAATCTTTCCGGATGTTTGCCCGGCACACCTAGTTGCTTTAACAGCACTCGTGTGCCACGTAACAATCGGGATGTTATATACCTGACTGTTCTATACACCTACCTATGATATACACTTACCCACCCATCATATATATATACCTACACTTAACAGAATTCCACATTACTATTTTCTTTTTATAACAATCGGCAGGGTTCGCTCCTCCACACCACCAACCACCGGCCTGAAAGTTGTGGCTAAAAATAGCACAGAAGCCGCGCCAAACACGCAACCACCACATGCGGTCCCCAGTGACACCTTGACCACTCCACAGACTGCTAGCATACTACCTCAGCACACCGCACACAGTCTTATTTCATCACATGACAGAATACGCCCTGCTTTACCCCAGGCGCATCCCGGCACCCAAGTGCTGGACAATACAGGCCCAGCACCTAGGCCCGCAGGGTTTGGGGCCGGATTGCTTTCGGTTAAGAAATATAGTAGTCCGTCGTTGGATATGGACATCGATGAGGCGATCGAGTCAACTGCCGAGTTGTATCTGCCTTTTGCCCATGAAAAGGCTGCGGCGACAGCTAGCACGCTCAGGGGTAAGGGTGTGTGCGTGCGCACGGTACGTATAGAGGTTGGCTTGCCATTTGTGCGTGTATGTGTCTCTTACTGTGTGTATGTATCCCTCATTGTGTGTATGTGTCACTTCTCCTCATATATATATATATATAATTATATATAAAAGACGATGGGTTGATTTGACAAGAGATCATCCGTGTAAGTCTTAGATGCTGCATGTGACTCGACGAACCACTATCCAAATACATCCGTGTATTGAGTGAGGTATTTTCTTATTTATGCAAGTATGTACAGGCTTCTTGCGTGCACACGCACAATCTACTAGTATCAGTATAGTCGTACTATAATCCCTTATCGCTCACTCGTCAGTTGGTATGTTTGATCATCCCTAGCAGATGGTCCCACCAACGTCCCTGGGCAAAGGGCTGTGCGGCTGCCCACAACACTCAACTACACCCGATGCGTAAACCAGTCACAGGTGCAGGTACCCATCGAGCCGGACGTGTTTTCGGTATGGGGGTTACAGTATTTAGGGTTTTAGGGGTTTAGGGGTTTAGGGTCCAGGGTTGTGCAAAAGCATGCATATTAGAATGTGGTTTGTAGTTTTAGGGTTTAATCGAGATTGTGTAGAGACTTTTGAGCTGCGTTCAGATGTTCGTCAGTGGGGCAGATGAGATGTTTCATTTCATAACATACATACACTTATCGATTGAAATTCATAACAAACATTGTTCTTACCTACATACACTTATCGATTGAAATTCATAACAAACATTGTTCTTACCTACATACACTTATCGATTGAAATTCATAACAAACATTGTTCTTACCTACATACACTTATCGATTGAAATTCATAACAAACATTGCCTACATACACTTATCGATTGAAATTCATAACAAACATTGTTCTTTCCTACATACACTTAACGATTGAAATTCATAACAAACATTGATCTTACATACATACACTTATATAAGCTTTTGTATTGAGTTTCAAATATATGTCTTGCTAGTAGCAAGTACTTGTTACAGACGCCGATTCACAGATTCACATAGACGTGCGTGTCAGTTCATATAGTTCAAAGTAAGATTAGGCTACAATGACTCAATACGTATGCAAATACGTATACATGTATATGATATAAGTATATCTGTATATTTAAATATTGATACTTGTATATTTATCTATTTATAAATATATATTCTGCTGAGATCCAGGGCGTTGCTGAGATAGTCCACACTGTTATAGTGCCCTGTGTGCACAACGATGCACGTACACATGCATATATGCATATAAGCATACACACTTATATACACACTTGTATATACATACCAACTTGCGTATACACGCATATATGTATATACACTTATATGCAAACATATATATACATACCAACGTACGTACACAAGTACTTTTAAGCATATGCACTTATATACAAACATACACGCACGTATGATATCCACTATTACAAGGACATAAGCACATACACTGATGTACACACACACACACACACACACAGACAGACACACACACACACACACACACACACACACACACACACACACACA